ACTCATTCAGGGTTGTGATTCTGGTGAAAGGGGGCTGCTGCTGCTGCTGCTGCTAAGTCGCTTAAGTCGTGTCCGACTCTGTGCGACCCCATAGATGGCAGTCCACCAGGCTCCACTGTCCCTGGGATTCTCCAGGCAAGAAGACTGGAGTAGGTTGCCATTTCCTTCTCCGATGCATGGAAGTGAAAAGTGGAAATGAAGTCGCTCAGTCATGTCCGACTCACAGCGACCCCATGGACTGCAGCCTACCAGGCTCCTCCGTCCATGGGATTTTCCAGGCAAGAGTACTGGAGTGCGGTGCCATTGCCTTCTCTGGAAAGGGGGCTAGGCTGAGCCAGGTCCCTGCAGGGAGCCCTGGCACGTGACCGGACATCCCCCTCAAAGACCCCTAGCTCACCCCAGAGGCTCCTGCTTCTCAGCTCCACCCCACACCTGGGCGGGGAGCCCCTGCCCAACAAACCCACTGAGAAATGGACTCAAGCCCGAGGAGGGGGCAGGGGGTTTCTGGAGAGAAGCCCTGCAGGCAGACTGCCTGCTCCTGAGAGGCGGCTGGATCATCTACCCAGGAGCCTCCCAGGCTGCCTCAGATTCCAGGCAACCAGGGCCCCCAGCTATGCCTTCCCCGCTGCCTCCACCCTCCTGCTTGGCACGCTGACCGGGCTGGCCCCTCAGGCAGGCGCGTCCTGAACTCTGCCCTCAGTCAGGCCCAAGGAGACCCAGCGGAGGAAGAGGGCACCAGCAGGCCGATCCTCGGGGATCCCCAGCCCCCCCGTGTGAAGCAGCAGGGGGCTCAGAGCAGGTGTTGTGGGCGCGTCCCTTCCTGCTCCCCCCTCCCCGGCCCTTGGACCCCTCACATCCAAAGGAGGCCACGCCAGGCGGGGGCGCGTCCTTCGGGCCTATCGTCCCCCTCAAAGAGCTTTGTGAACGGGTGGTGCCCCAGCCTCGAAGCCTGAGACCCTGTGGGAGCCCAGAGGGCGTGGAGGACATGGCCTGGCTCGGGGGGCACAGCAAGGAGTGGAGGGTCTGTGTTCCTGACCCTCTGGGTGGCAGTTCCTGCCCCCTGCCTGTCCTGACTGAGGCTGGTCATAGCTTTTCTTCCAAGGAGCAAGCAAACCCCAGTCTCCTGTGTTGCAGGCAGATTCTTTGCCACTGAGACACCTGGGAAGCACCTTGAAAATCACATTTACTCTGAATATTTAATGTCAGGGGACAAAGCCTCCCCGCGTGGCACGGAGCTGTGGCCACCGCAGCCACCTGGGAGCAAAGGCCCGAGGGCCTCTACCCACTGGGCACTGGGGGCGCCCACCAGTCCTGTGGGTTTTCTCATTTACTTCTTCATCTTCTAAATGCCACACAACGAACCCACTCCACTTCACATTCATGAAAAAATAATCAAACCACAAAAGTTACTTTGGAAAGTCAAACTACGATGGACTCTTAGCTCTAGAGAGGATGCTGGCCACCCACCTGGGCGCTCAGAAGTCTGAGCCTCAAGGCGGGCCTTTCTTGTCGCCGGCTGTCCACGCCGCTAGGCACACCTGCTGTCTCGAGAGGTGGTGGTCCTGCCTCAGGGTGACCAGGGCTGCAGCCAGGGCTGGGGGCTGGGACCCTAGGCCCAGACGGCGAGAATTTCTGAGCCTGGCTGGTCTTCGCCCACTGCCTACTCCAAACCCCGTTCCCCCAGGCCTGTTCTCACAGGAGGCCCTGATTTCCAAGGAGGCTCCCGCATTTATTACTGTAACATCAGGGCTCAGTGTATATCCTGTTTACATGTGTGGTTCTCACCTTTTGTGAGTGTTCAGAATTTTTTTCACTTTTGTTTTCCCTTAATTAGTCTTAGCAAAAGGTAACAACATTGTTCTTTTCAGAGAACTAGTTTTGGGGGACTTCCCTGGTGATCCAGTGATTAGGACTTGGTGCTGTCACTGCTGTGGCCTGGGTTCAATTCCTGGTTGGGAAACCAAGATCTCTCAAGCTGTACCAGTTCAGTTCAGTCACTCAGTCGTGTCTAACTCTTTGTGACCCCATGGACTGCAGCATTCCAGGCTTCCCTGTCCATCACCAACTCCAGGAGCTTGCTCAAACTCATGTCCATCGAGTCGGTGATGCTATCCAACCACCTCATCCTCTGTCATCCCCTTCTTCTCCTGCCTTCAATTTTTCTAGCATCAGGGTCTTTTCCAATGAGTCAGTTCTTTGTATCAGGTGGCTAAAGTATTGGAGCTTCAGCTTCAACATCAGTCCTTCCAATGAATATTCAGGACTGATTTCATTTAGGATTGACTAGTTTGATCTCCTTGCAGTCGAAGGGACTCTCAAGACTCTTCTACACTGCAGTTCAAAAGCATCAATTCTTCGGCGCTCAGATTTCTTTATAATCCAACTCTCACATCTATACATGACTACTGGAAAAACCATAGCTTTGACTAGATGGACCTTTGTTGGCAAAGTAATGTCTTTGCTTTTTAATATGCTGTCTAGGTTGGTCATAGCTTTTCTTCCAAGGACCAAGCGTCTTTTAATTTCATGACTGCAGTCACTATCTGCAGTGATTTTGGAGCCCTAAAAAATAAAATCGGTCACTGTTTCCATTGTTTCCCCATCTATTTGCCATGAAGTGATGGGCCTGGATGCCATTTTTTGAATGTTGAGCTTTAAGCCAACTTTGTCACTCTTCTCTTTCACTTTCATCAAGAGGCTCTTTAGTTCTTCACTTTCTGCCACAAGGGTGGTATCATCTGCATATCTGAGGTTATTGATATTTCTCCCAGCAATCTTGATTCCAGCTTGTGATTCATCCAGCCTGGCATTTCACATGATATACTCTGCATAGAAGTTAAGTAAGCAGGGTGACAATATACAGCCTGACATACTCCTTTCCCAATTTGGAACCAGTCCACTATTCCATATCCAGTTCTAACTGTTGCTTCTTGACTTGGATACAGGTTTCTCAGGAGGCAGGTAAAGTGGTCTGGTATTCCCATCTCTTTAAGAATTTTCTCACAGTTTGTTCTGATCCACACAGTCAAAGGCTTTAGTGTCATCAAGGAAGCAGAAGTAGATGTTTTTCTGGAATTCTCTTGCTTTTTCTGTGATCCAGCAGATGTTGGTAATTTGATTTCTGGTTCCTCTGTCTTTTCTAAATCCAGCTTGAACATCTGGAAATTCTCCATCCATGTACTATTGAAGCCTAGCTTAGAGAATTTTGAGCATTACTTTGCTGGCATGTGAGATGAGTGCAATTGTGCTGTAGTTTGAACACTCTTTGGCATTGCCTTTCTTTGGGACTCACGCTGCATGACATGGCCAAAAATTTAAAAAGAACTAGCTTCTGGTTTTACTAATTTTATACCTCCTGATTTAAGTATTTAATGAACTTTTCTCTTTTTTTCCTTCAGTTATATATATTTTCAGATTCTTTTCCAATATAGGTTATTACAAGATATTGAATATAGTTCTCTGTGCCGTACAGTAAACAGTCCTTGTTGTTTATCTATTTATACAGAGCTGTGTGTACCTGTTAATTCAGACCCTAATTTATAACCCCCTTTCCCCTTGGGGAAACCACAAGTCTGTCGTCTACGACTGTGAGTCTGTTTCTGTTTCATTGATAAGTTCATTCGTGTCACATTTTAGATTCCACACGTGAGAGATGTCATGTGCTGCCATCTTGGACCTGCTTTACTTAGTGTGATGACGTCTAGGTCCATCCATGGTGCTGCGAACAGCATCATTTCATTCTAGGTTTTTCTCTGTATTAATTCCACCTGCTCCCTTCCGTGTCTTCTGTTTATTTTTGACTTGGGGCGGGGGTGGCACCTGGATTGCTTCCCCACCAGAGATGAATACTTTCTGGTTAAACGCAGGCTTCTTGGATTTGCCTTTTGTCTTAACAGCCCTGACGGTCCTCTTCCCTCTGGTTGGCCTCCTCCTCCCTGGCAGTCCCCAGGCTGGCCCTTCCCTCTGGACTGCAGAAGCCGCACCTGCCGGCTCGGGCCGTGCTCACTCGCTCGCTCCTCCGTTCGTTCCATGTGACACACGCTTCTGCTCACAGGCTCTTTCTGGTTCCAGGTCCATGCTGCCAGTTCGCGTCGTTTCCTCCCCCTTCCTCACGTCCTGGCTTCTCCCGGAGATGGGGGCGCAACCTGGGGGTGGGCCCCGGCTGCAGAGCTGCCTCAGGCAGGGTGCCACATGGCTGTGCAGGGGGTCTGCAGTGGGAGCTGGCTCAGGGAGCAGCAGCAGGCGGCCTCTGGTTTCAAACCGCACGAGGGGCTCCATCTGAGAGCAGAGACAGGTGAGGAGCCGCCTGCAGGTTCGGGGCACCCAATGCCCGGCTCCCTGGAGACGCAGCCCTTCCCCACGCATCCTGCAGGACCGAACTACACGTTCCCCTGTTTATAGTCTCCTTTTGGCTCCGAACCTCCAGGAGACGAACCCTGAGCCACCTGCGTGCGTGGCCGCCCTGGCGTGCAGACTGCCGGGCGGGGGAGCCCTGCTCGCGTCTAAACGCGCCCTCCCGTCGTGCTGCCTCTCCCCCCCGCCCCCCGTAAGGCTTCCTGGGGGGCGGGATGGGTCCCAGTACATGGGTTCATGGTCGGCAGTCCGTGAGCAGCTGAAGCGGTGGGTGCGCTGAGCCCCTGGGAGACGTGGTCATCCAGCGCTGGGTCAAGAGGCTCTCCACGGACTCGTGTGACGGACACAGCCCGGGGCCCAGGCTCCACATGGTGACTTTGGACACCAAGTGCCTCTGGCACAAGTGAGCCTACATCTATCTTCTGAGAGAATAATCTTATGTGGCTTTTGGCTTTATTCTTGGATGTGCCCACTGTTTAAAAAGGGAAAACAAAAAACCCAACCTTTTGTCTTGGGCTAAAATCAATTCCCAAATATCCAAAACTCCTGCACATTTGATTGACCTGTGAGCTCCAGAATTAACCAGCTATTAAGTTTCTTTGGAAGCAAGCTTCAGCGCTAAGCTGGCCTCTGAGCTGAGTGCTTACCTCAGGAAGCGGCTCCCTCTCCCGGGCTCCCTCTGGTGTGTGTTTGCTCACACACTCACGTGTGAGCTGTGTGCTGCAAATGGCCTCAGCAGCACTGCTGACAGGAGCGGCTGGAGGCGCAACAGGGTCCTGGCAGAAGCTGCTCCCAACGCGTCCACCAATACTGGGGAGTAGATTTCAACTCAGACACAACGAAGTGTTTCTGAACCACCTTCTTCAGAGCTGGAAGAACTTTAGAGGTCATTGAATCACTCCAACTTTCAGGGTATCTGTAAAACAGAAAAACCTGTAATTGAAACCTTCTAGAGGATTTTTTTTAATTAAACATTTTGAGATAACTATAGATATGCGTGTACTTGTCAGAAATAATAAAGAGACGTCCCATCTACCTTTCACCCCAAATCACAGCAGGACATGGTGTGGATCAGAGGAGAGCCAGGGCACGGCAGTGCCACGAGGCCCTCGCCCCAAGGCCCTGATCTGCGAGTGAGCCTGGCGACACTGGTCACGTCTCCATCCACATCGTCTGTCATTTCAGGAACGCTGCACGGCTGGAGCCACAGTCTGACCCCCACGAGGTGCCGTGTGTGCCGAGTGCCCAGCCTGTTTGTGGAGTGGGCTCCTGTGGCATGGACACAGAGGCTGCTTGGCCAGCACGCCCGAGGGGCTTCGACACTGCTTCCAGCTCTGGGCCATCGTGGGGCAGAGCTGCAGTACCGCAGGGGCAGGCGCAGCGGTGCTACTTCTTTCATCTTTATTTCTGGGGGTCGGGCATGTGGGATTTTAGCTCCCCGACCAGGGATTGAACCTGTGCTTCCTGCGTTGGATGCATGAAGTCTTAACCACTGGACTGCCAGGGAGGTCCCTTTTCTCATCCTTTTATTGTGAAAATAGAAAAACACAAGAGTAGTGGGCACAGACGACAGCCAGAGGGTAATTCAAGGGACCTGGGGGAGCCAGAGGAGAAGCGCCAGGACAGAACCCAGAGGAGGTGGAAGGGGCGGGGAACACAGGAGACCCAAAGAACATGTTTCCCAGAGGCCAGGCACCAAGTGGGGACAAGTCACAGGAGGCCGCCAGAAACCCCAACAGGCATTTGGGTGGCACCCCGGCAGGATCAAGAATAAGAAGCATTCACTTCAGTCACTCAGTCATGTCCGACTCCTTGTGAGCCCATGAACCGCAGCACACCAGGCCTCCCTGTCCATCACCAACTCCCGGAGTTTACCCAAACCCATGTCCATTGAGTCAGTGATGCCATTCAACCATCTGATTCTCTGTCGTCCCCTTCTCCTCCCGCCTTCAATCCTTCCCAGCATCAGGGTCTTTTCCAATGAGTCAGCTCTTCGCATCAGCCGGCCAAAATATTGCAGTTTCAGTTTCAACATCAGTCCTTCCAATGAGCACTCAGGACTGATTTCCTTTAGGGTGGATCGTTGGATCTCCTTGCAGTCCAAGGGACCCTCAAGAGTCTTCTCCAACACCACAGTTCAAAAGCATCAATTCTTCGGCGCTCAGCTTTCTTTATAGTTCAACTCTCACATCCATACATGACTACTGGAAAAACCATAGCCTTGACTAGATGGACCTTTGTTGACAAACTAATGTCTGCTTTTTAATATGCTGTCTAGGTTGGTCATAACTTTCCTTCCAAGGAGTAAGCGTCTGTTAATTTCATGGCTGCAACCACCATCTGCAGTGATTTTGGAATCCAGAAAAATAAAGTCAGCCACTGTTTCCCCATCTATTTGCCATGAAGGGATGGGACTGGATGCCATGGTCTTAGTTTTATGAATGTTGAGCTTTAAGCCAACTTTTTCACTCTCCTCTTTCACTTTCATCAAGAGGCTTTTTAGTTCCTCTTTACTTTCTGCCATAAGGGTGGTGTCATCTGCATATCTGAGGTTACTGATATTTCTCCCAGCAATCTTGATTCCAGCTTGTGCTTCTTCCAGTCCAGCTTTTCTCATGATGTACTCTGCATAGAAGTTAAATAAGCAGGGTGACAATATACAGCCTTGACATACTCCTTTTCCTATTTGGATCCAGTCCGTTGTTCCATGTCCAGTTCTAACTCTTGCTTCCTGGCCTGCATACAGTTTTCTCAAGAGGCAGGTCAGGTGGTCTGGTAATCCCATCTCTTTCAGAATTTTCCACAGTTTATTGTGTCCACACAGTCAAAGGCTTTGGCATAGTCAATAAAGCAGAAATAGATGTTTTTCTGGAATTCTCTTGCTTTTTCAATGATCCAGTGGATGTTGGCAATTTGATCTCTGGTTCCTCTGCCTTTTCTAAATCCAGCTTGAACATCTGGAAGTTCACGGTTCACGTATTGCTGAAGCCTGGCTTGGAGAATTTTAAGCATTAGTTTACTTGTGTGTGAGATGAGTGCAATTGTGTGGTAGTTTGAGCATTCTTTGGCATTAGATTTTTTGGGGATTGGAATGAAAACTGACCTTTCCCAGTCTTGTGGCCACTGCTGAGTTTTCCAAATTTGCTGACATATTGAGTGCAGCACTTTCACAGCATTATCTTTTAGGATTCAAAATAGCTCAACTGGAATTCCATCACCTCCACTGGCTTTGTCCGCAGTGATACTTCCTAAGGCCCACTTGCATTCCACGATGTCTGGCTCTAGGTGAGTGACCACACCTTCATGATTATCTGGGTCGTGAAGATTTTTTTTGTATAATTCTTCTGTGTATTCTTGCCACCTCTTCTTAATATCTTCTGCTTCTGTTAGGTCCATACGATTTCTGTCCTTTATTGTGCCCATCTTTGCATGAAATGTTCCCTTGGTAGCTCTAATTTTCTTGAAGAGATCTCTAGTCATTCCTATTCTTTTCATCAGTTTCTTTGCATTGATCGCTGAGGAAGGCTTTCTTATCTCTCCTTGCTAGTCTTTGGAACTCTGCATTCAGATGGGTATATCTTTCCTTTTCTCTTTTGCTTTTTGCTTCTCTTTTCACAGCTATCTGTAAGGCCTCCTCAGACAACCATTTTGCCTTCTTGCATTTCTTTTCCATGGGGATGGTCTTGATCCCTGTCTCCTGTACTATGTCATGAACCTCCATCCATAGTTCATCAGGCTGTCTATCAGATCTAGTCCCTTAAATCTATTTCTCACTTTCACTGTATAATCATAAGGGATTTGATTTAGGTCATACCTGAATGATCTAGTGGTTTTCCCCACTTTCATCAATTTAAGTCTGAATCTGGCAATAAGGAGTTTATGATCTGAGCCACAGTCAGCTCTCAGTCTTGTTTTTGCTGACTGTATAGAGCTTCTCCATCTTTGGCTGCAAAGAATATAATCAATCTGATTTCAGTATTGACCATCTGGTGATGTCCATGTGTAGAGTCTTCTTCTGTGTTGTTGGAAGAGGGTGTTTGCTATGACCAGTGTGTTCTCTTGGCAAAACTCTAAAAGCATTATGGACAGTCAAAGAGTTACACCAAGTGACCACCTGACCCAGCAACGCCACTCCTGGGTGTGCACCCAGGAGAACAGAGAACACAATGCCACAGAAACACCTGCACACAAGTGTGACTCACAAGAGCCAGACAGTGGGAGCCCTGGACTGCCCCTGGGTGTCTGTTTGATCAACAAAATGGGTGCATCCACACAACGGCTGTAACAGCCTGAAAAGGAAACAAGCGCTGGCCCTCCTACAATGCACACGAACCTCAAGGACATGATGCCGAGGGAGAGGCGCCAGATAGAAATCTATTCGTTTTACGATTCCATTTACACGAATTGTCCCGAAAGGGTGAAAGCAGACACGGGATGCCTGGCTGCCTGGGGCAGGGATGACGGGGGGCTGCAGTGGGGGCATTAGGGGCGACGGTGGCACAGCTCTGCGAATGGGACAGAAATACGGAACTGTACATTTAAAAGTGAGCTTTATGATTTGTGAAGCACATCTCAGTAACTAAAAGACACCCGGCAGAGGAAACGGAGATGCTGAATCCTGCCAATTCTTCAAAGGAGTCTGGCTGTAAAAGAGCAAGGAGACAGGTGGGCTGAGGGTGGCGGCTTTCTGTCCAAGGTGGGAAGAAACACAGGACGTCTGCATAGAGAGGGGAAATAACACCGGGGGGGAGCACTCCAGCGAGACACGCTGGGGATGGGGCACTGCTCCGAGGGAGGAGGCAGATCTGGGGTGTAGGCACCAGGGATCCCTTCCAGCTGGGAGGCAGGATGGGTGGAGGTGAGGCCAAGGAAGGAAGGGAAGGGACTGGGCCAGGGGAGGGGTGAGCTCCCCGGGCAGGACCCACATGACCCACCTGAGGCTTGTGGCCAATGTGGACAGACACAGGTCAGCAGGCTGAGACAGGTGAGTGGGACCAGGCTCCTGCCCGGACAGAGGGACCAGGGACCGGACAAGAGTGTGGGTGGTGCTCCTTGGAAGAAAAGTTGTGACCAACCTAGACAGCATATTACTTTGCCAACAGAGACATTACTTTGCCAACAAAGGTCTGTCTAGTCAAAGCTATGGTTTTTCCACTAGTCATGTATAAATGTGAGAGTTGGACCAAAAAGAAAGCTGAGCGTGATGCTTTTGAACTGTGGTGTTGGAGAAGACTTTTGAGAATCCCTTGGACTGCAAGGAGATCCAACCAGTCAATTCTAAAGGAGATCAGTCCTGGGTGTTCATTGGAAGGACTGATGCTGAAGCTGGAACTCCAATACTTTGGCCACCTGATATGAAGAGCTGACTCATTGGAAAAGACCCTGATGCTGGGAAAGATTGAAGGCAGGAGGAGAAGGGGATGACAGAGGATTAGGTGGTTGGATGGCATCACTGACTCAATGGACATGGGTTTGAATAAACTCCGGGAGTTGGTGATGGACAGGGAAGCCTGGCGTGCTGCAGCCCATGGGGCTGTAGAGAGTCGGACACGATGAGCGACTGAAGTGAACTGAACTGGTGGGTGGGGGCTTGGCGGGTAGAGGGCATGAGCTGCAAGGACAGGTGTGGGTGGGCGGCTGCAGGAAGGAGGAGGCCCAAGTGGGCGGGCGGGAGGGCGCAGCTGAGCTCAGGGACCCTCAGGGCTGTGAGGGAGGCGGGGGTCCTGAGGCTGGACCGGGCAGGGCTGTGGGAGGCTGGTGGGTGGGAGGTCTGGTCTGAGGAAGGGAGCGTCCACGCGGGAACTCGGGGAAGAGAGGAGCACATGAGAGGTGGGGGCTCTGCCCACCTCCCGGCTGGCAGTTTGGGAACCTCAGTGCCCCACTGGTGAGAGAGCAGCCTCCTCAGGGGCACACGGCCCAGGAGGCCTTCCCACTTGACAAGCATCGTCTCACAGCCCTGCTGGCTTGTCCTCAGGGACTCTGGTCCTCAGGGAAGGAAGCAGAGTCTCAGCCCCAACTGAGCAGGGAGGGTGGCCAGAGTCGGAGGCAGGTGGCTCTCTGCCAGCCGCCCAGGACACACGCCTCCCCGGACCCTGGAGGATGCTCAGGCACAAGGGCGCAGCCTGTGTCCAGGAGCGTCTCTAGGGTTCATGCGGTGACGGTAACGTTTCTGCGCCAGCATTCAAAGGCCACAGTGCCTAGGTGTTTGGTCAAAGAGTCACATGTTACGGTGAAAGCATTTTTCAGATGAGATTAACATTTAAAACAGTAGACAAAGCAATAGAAAGCAGACCCTCCGTGACACGGGTGAACCTCATCCCGTCAGCTGAAGGCGGAAAGAGCGAAGACAGGTCCCCCGAGGGGAGACGGTGCGGCTCTCCCAGCCTGTGGGCTCCTCAGACAGATGCAGCCTCCACAGCTGCAGGAGCGCGTCCTCCTCGTCGGCCACCCTCTGTGAAGGCCCTGGGGCACCGCGGGGCTAAGAGTGAGACGCGTGAGACGCAGAGGGAGCCCCGCGGGACACGAGCGGGGCCGGGGGCCCGGCACCCAGAGGGGCCCCCGCCTCCCCCTGGACAGAGCCCCAGCGCCCCGAGGGCGGCCCGCGTCACCCCGAGGGCGGCCCGCGTCACCCCGAGGGCGGGCGCACAGCCCTGGAGGCTTCCGCTTTCTCCGTGGAGAGGAAGGGGAATTCCAGTGTTCACGGTATGACACCGAAACAGGGAGCCCCGCCGAAACGGGCCGGGCAGGCTCGGGGCTCTCACACGTCCCCGTCGGCGGGCCGAGCCCGGCGGGCTGAGGGCCTGACGGACGCCCCCACAGGGTCACCGGCCCGGGGCCACGGCCAACTTCCGCACCGAGCCCCCAGCCGCCCCTCCGGCGGCGACCCGGGGCCCACGGATGACCCGCCCCCGGCCCCTCCCAGCGGCACCCGCGTCCAGCGCCGGACCGCGAGGCCCCAGGATCGCTTAACGGCCCGGCCCTGGGGCCTCTTACCTGAGACGGAAGGGTCCGCCCGGAACCTTGGCGCGGCCGCAGCAGCGGCGCCAGAGGCGGGCCCGGATGGTTTTTCCCAGCGCACCGAGGCCGACTCCGAGCTGTCAGCGGCGGCGGAGAAGCGCCGGCGCGCGAGCTCTGGGCGGAAGTCCAGAGGGGCGGGGCCGACTGGGGCGGGGGCGGGGCCTCGGTGGGGCGTGGTCAGGAGGGCGGGGCTTGTGGGCCTTCCTGGAGCACCTGACGCACCTGGCGCCCCTGCGCACCTGACGCACCCGGCGCTCCGCGCTCCGTCCCTCCCGCACCTAGTACCTGGCTCCGGAGCAAGTCCTCGCCCCTTCTGTCCGCCTCGGAGGGATCCCGCGGCCCGCGCTGGTCGCCGGATTCCCGGGCCCCGGCCCCGCGGTCCTCTGACCCCAGCACCCCCGGGCAGGACCCTCACGGCGGCCCGCTGCGCCCGCCGCGATCCGGCCGGGAAGGGCCGACTTCCGCGTGGTGCCAGGCGGGGTCCACTCCGCCATGCCCTCGCTCGGGGACCTGCTGCGCGACTGGCACCAGGGCGCGCAGGCCGTGGCGCGCGGGGACTGGGACTGCGCCCTGCACCTCTTCTCGAGCGTCTCGGAGCCGCCCGCCAGGGTGAGCTTCAACGTGGGCTGCGTGCACCTGCTGGCCGGGGACCCGGAGGCCGCGCTGCGGGTGAGCCAGGAGGCCCCCAGGCTTGGTTGCAGATACCCCACCTCGCGGGATGCAGCTCTCTGCTCCTGGTGGCCGGGGCTGGGGGGTGGGGCGGCAACGCGCGGTGCCATAGCTGCAGGGGTGAGCCCAGGGCTCCCACCCTGCTTCCCTGAGGGCCACCTGGGCACTCCCCCCACCCCAGCGTTCTGCCTCAGCGAACACCTAAGCATGTGGGACCTGTGTGTGTCCAGGGGGGACCCTGTTGAGCTGCGTCAGGGCCAGGATGGGGTTGCAAGGCTCCAGCACAGCCTCCACTTGTGGGGACCATTTGTCCCGCTCTGCGGTCCTGCGGAAAGACCGAGTGAGTGCTGGTTCCGGTGCTCTTGGTGGAGGTGCTAATGTACCTGCAGAGGCTCAAGGCTGGATGAGGCTGGGAGGGTTGCCTGGGTGTAGGCTTTGGGTCAGGTCTGCAGCAGACACCTGTGGCGATGGCCAGGAGACAGTGTCTGCCTGGTGCCTAAACCCCAGATCTGTTTCCCCCAAAGCACACACCACACCCCAAAGCAGAACCAAGAGCTGGATGTGTGCACGGGCACACACACCTGCCTCTGCAGAGGGCCCGCCAGGACCATCCCTGCCCTTCAAGCCCCCAGGTTCATCACCGTGGTGCACATCCCGTGGGCGATGACAAGAAGCAGTAGCACCCTGCACACTGCTCCGGTCCCCGAGGGCCCTGCATTGCTCAGGCCAACGGCGACAGCTACCGAAAACATGTCCAAGGGGCCTGCCCTGTCGTTCCTCACATATGTGTTCGAATCTGCAGTTATCTCAGCAGCAGTGTCAGTGTTAGAATGTTATCCAACAATGGGGATGTCATCACTGGACACCAAGGGGTCAGTGGCGTGAGGCCAGTCCAGTCACTACCTCCTCTAAACCTCAATTTAATCAGAGAGAGGGGACAGAGGTTCCGGTCCAAGGGTGTGCACATTAAATTCTCCTCCACTCTAATCGGAAATGGAATAGCAGAGGCATGTTTGTTGGAAAATTTTAAAAAGCAGATGGAATGGCTACAATCAATAAAGCTGACTTGGACAGGGTGAGGGGAGCTGGGGCTCCGTGTCTGGCAGGCGCCCTCCGGAAGCTCTGACCCAGCCGCTCAGTGTGACAGGATAAAAGGGTTTCCCTTGTGCTGAGCTGCCACATCAGTGCCCGACTGCTGACCTTCAACCTCTGTCAGATTCAGCTCAACAAGCCCCACTCAGCCAGGTTTGTTAGAGTGGGACCATGTCACCCCTCCAGTTACCTGCATTTAACTGATGGCTGCTGTCCTTAGGAATAGACGACATCATTTCTGAGTTCAGTTTCAGGAAGAGCTGGGCTTCACACACATATTAAGACTTTCGTCTTGTTGTTCTTTCTGATTCTAATCGATGAGACGTGTGTTTTTGGGTGAACTACCAAAACTAGGGCTTGAAAAAGACAACAGTTTTAACCTAAGTCCTCCAGTGGAGGTAACTATTATCAGCGTGCTGGAGCGTTTCCTTGTCCTCATGGTTAACAAGTTGATCTGTGCCGCCACCTAACTACCCCTGAGCAGTCACCAGAAAACACCTGGGGAGTCCAGGCAGGTTTGCATTGAGGCCGTGACGCCTGCGCCCCTTGGACTCAGAGGCCCCTGGGCAGGCAAAGGAAACTTTCTCCTGCAGGTGACTGTCATGTGGCCGACGGGCTTCCTTGACCCACTGCTGGGCATCCCCATCTGTGACACGGGGGTGACGTGGTTACAGGCCTGAGCCTGTGAGTCCACAGACATTTCTGTCCGCAGGCATTTGACCAGGCAGTGACCAAGGACACCTGCTTGGCTGTCGGCTTCCTCCAGCGCGGAGTGGCCAACTTCCAGCTGGAGAGGTGAGCACGGACAGGCCCTCTTCCTTCTCTGACAGCCCTTCATCTCTACAGAGTCCTTCCTGTGCTCCTGTCTGCCTACGGTCACCTCCTCTGGCCAGGTCCTCCCTCTGCTCCGCGAAGCCCGGGGAGAGGATGGTGTCACGTGGGGGCGTGTCTCTCTGTCCCCATGCCGGGCTGCACAGTCACCCTGGGCTCTGTGTGGAAGAGGGTCACAGAACGCCTCTGCCGGCTGCCCTCCTCCGTTCCTACACCCTGGACTGGGGGACGACGGCGTGATTCTGCCCATTCTGCCTTCAGGAAACCCAGGGCAGGGCTGGAGGAATGGCGCATCCCAGGACTCGGCGGGTGGTGGGGGGTTCCTCTGCCTGCCCGGCTCTCTGCAGCAGGCCCTTCCCAGAGAAGGAATCAGAGCTGCAGGGCAGGCCCGGAGCTCACAGACGGCCTTACACAGGGCGGGCGGGCTCTCGGGTAACCTCCTTCTCATCAGCCCAGAAGCCTCCCCGGGGGCGATGAGGATCCTGGTCGGGGCTGGGGCTTCCAGCCCGGCTCTGGGTGGAGAGGCCTGTGGGACGGAGGCCCCAGAAGCAGGCAGGACATGCCCAGGGCACGCTGTACTCTGAGGTTCGGGAGAGGGCTGGGGTGCAGGTGGAGGAGCCCACATGCCGCATAGCCCGTCTGTGTGGCCCCCGTGTGCTGAGGCCTGCCAACCACTGCTGCCCCCGCCCTGCAGGAGGGGCTGGGGCGGGGGCGGGTCTGGGCCGAGGAGGAGCCCGTGCCCTGGGGCCGCCCGGGGCCTGCACGCCAGGCTGCCCTGCTGCCCCCAGGTTCCAGGAGGCCCTGTCGGACTTCCAGCGCACCCTGGCCCAGCTGAGGGACAACACCACCATCGACTACACCCAGCTGGGCCTGCGGTTCAAGCTGCAAGCCTGGGAGGTGAGCATGCGGGGAGCAGGCCGCCAGGAGGCGGGGTGGCTGGGCCCTGGGGGCTGTCTGTGGGTGGGCAGCCCGGGGCCCCTTCCAGGACCCCGGTCCTGCAGGCCCCGCCCTCTGGGCCCTGTCATCTTGTGACTGGCAAGTGGGCCCGAGTTAACTGAGGTGCTCCGTCTGGCCAGAGGAGCCCCAGAATCCCAGCAGAGAGCAGTGTCGGAGGTCAGCGAGAGGTGGCGGGGTGGGCAGGGCGGGAGCTGGCCTGGCAGAGGGCCCTGGCGTCCCTGCCCTAGGCTTGGCGCTTGGCTCGGTTCCTGGACTCCTGGGAAGTGCCTGGCACTGACAGAAAGCTTGGGAGGCTCCCCCCAACCCTGTGCTCCCACCACTCCCAGAAACATGCCACCTCGCAGCCCCTGGGAGCCGCAGTGTCCCGGTGGGTCAGCCGTGGGGGAAGTCCCACCAGGCTGGGCCCGGCCCCAGCCCTGGCCTGCAGGGCGGGGTGTGGGCTTGGCGTCCGTGGCCCGGGCAGCCCCGCGGCAGCAGCTCTAGGAGTGCATGGGCCCTGCAGAGCACGGGGACAGAGGTCGCCCCAGGCGGTGCCCCGTCCTCCTGGCAGCACTGAACGACTTGGCTGCTATCGCCCAGCACGGGGGAGCGGAGCGGACAAGAGGCGCCGCTCAGACAGCGCCCCAAGCTCTTGGAGGTTCAGGGAACAGGGCAGCACAGGCAGGAGGGGGTCAAGCCAAACGCAGGACGGGCGTGAAGGCTGAGCAGGTGCTTCCAGAGATGGAGATGGCTGACGTTCAGAGCAGAGGAGAAGCAGGGAGGGCTGGTGGGCTCTGGCTGGGGGGTCCGGAGAGAAACCAGCAGGCAGAGCCCACCCCAGGGTGGGAGCCAGGGGGTACCTGGAAGAGCCCCGGGCCACTGTGTCTGGGCAGCTCAGGGGCTGGACCAGTGCAGGGCCAGGGGTGTGGCCAGGTGGTGGCCCTGTAGGGGAGGGGAGCGCTGGGCCCCCCGTCACCCCGCCCCCCACCCTCAGGTGCTGTTCAATGTGGCTGCAGTGCAGAGCCAGCTGGGGCTCTGGGCAAAGGCCGCCTGCATCCTGGGAGACGCCCTCTCCAAGGGGCCAGAAGGGGCCCGCAACGACCTGGACGTCGCCCTGGGCCAAGTGCAGGTAAGGGACAGGCGAGGGGAGCCAGGCTCCCGAGCTGACTCGGGGCGCTTGCCAGGCCCACAGCCTGCACTTTTGGGGCTCACATCCATCCAGCCCCCCAAGACCAACCATATGAGATAAAGAGATGTCTGGAGGTGGGGGGCCTGCTGTGCCCTGGAGGGATGGGCCTCCCACAGGCCATGGGGGTTGGGGGGCGGGCCGTCCTGCTCTGAGGCCCCAGTGGCTCCTGGTGCTCAGGGCTGCCCTGTCCGGTCCCCTCCAGAAACAGGTCCCCCTGCAGCCTCGGCAGGTCCCCAGGGGTGAGGTCTTCCGGCCTCATAGGCTGCACCTGGAGCACCTGGAGCCTGTGGATTTCCTGGGCAAGGCCAAGGTAAAGGGAGGTGGCTTCTTGCTGCTTGGGCCCAAGGCTTGGGGCCAGCGGCGCCAGCAGGCCGCAGGGTGGACGGCCAGGCCCTGCTGAGCTCACACTGTCCTGAGTGCTGGGGTCATCGAGGCCTTGGGTGGGAGGGGGCGCGAGGCTCCCAGGGGCGGTAGCGCCTCTAGATGGGCTCACGGATGGGTCCTGGGACCTGGGGGCGGAGCCACTGGAAGCTGCTGCAGACCCCCAGCCAGCATGGCCCTGCCTGCCCCAGCCTCACTCTCCTGGCTTCAACCTTGCCCTGCGTTTCGGCCTCAGGGGGCAGGACCCTGGAGGCAAAGGGCGGTCTGGCCAAGCCACCTCTGCCCAGCCTGGGGTCTGGGCAGGTGGCACCAGCAAAATCGCTGGCTGATGGGGTGCAGCTCGCCCCAGGGTGGGCTAGTGTGTGGGGAAAGAGGGCTCCCTGTGCACAAAGGAAGGCTCACTCTGGTCTCCAGCTGTGGCCCAGGGCCCCTGATGCCCTGGTCACCCAGGGCCAGGCACGAGGGCTGCCTGGAGCAGGCACTTCTGAGCTGCATTAATCCACCCACTTGGAGCCCTTACCACAGGAGGCGACTATTTCTGTGAAATAAGAACTTTTTTTTTTTTTGAAATAAGAACATTTTAAAAGCGGTATTGAAAATAAGTCACACGGATGAGCCAGGCTCCGGCAGCCCCCACCAGGCAGGTGGGGGACTTGGGAGCACGGGTGGGCAGCGGGCCCTGGGCACCCCTCAGGCGGCCGCCCCTGCTGTCGCTCACAGGTGCTGGCCTCCACCCTCCCCGCCGACTCACAGAGGGTCGCCCCGCCGCAGCCACAGGTAGGCGAGCTGCCTCCCGCCCTCCCCCCTCCTCCACCGCACGTCTCTTCTGGGGTTTGCAGGTCAGGGCCTCCCAGATTCTTTACCCTTAAGGGTGCCTGAACCCTCTCCGGGGCTCCCTGTGTCCCTGCAATCTAAACTTAGGGGGCGGCCCATCCTGGTGAGAGCCGGTGAAAACCCTGCGGCCTTGCCCCCCAGTCCCCGGGGCTCCTGGGGGTCTGCGTCCTGAGGAGGCATCGTCTGTGCCCACAGGCTCTGGACGCGTGTGCTGAAGCCAGGCCCGGGGCCGCTGCATGGTAGGAAGGGGTCAGCGCCCACTTCTCTTGTCAGCAGGGGCTCCGCGAGGCCTGCCTCCTGGCCTGACGCTGGAGCTCCTGGGCAGACCTGCTGCGGCCAGCGTGACCTGCCCCCTTTCCAGACTGTCCGGGGTCCTGGTGTGGTGGGGGGCACCCCGCCTCGCTCAGCCCTCCCATTTGTCCCGAGCCCATTCTGACCCCAGGGGGAGAGCCCGCCCCCGCTCAGGCCGGGGGTGGGGGTGGGGGGACACCAAAGGCACCGGTGGGTGCAGCTGGCCACAGGCTGCAGGGAAAGCCCACCAGACACCGTCTTGCCGGCAGCCCTCCAGGCGGGGTGCTCCTCTCCAGCTCGGGGCTCTGCAGGCCCACCTTCCACGAGGCCTTGCCCGTGGGTGAGGCCTGGGGACGAGGGTCCCTCCTCTCCAGGGCCTGTGAGACTGCCCCTGGCAGAGCTGGCACCCCCTGCAGCCCCAGGACACCTGCTGACGCGGAGATGGAGGTCAGCTCCAGCCAGGCTGGGCAGCACCACCACGGCACGCTGGTCACTCACGAGGTGGGTGAGCCCCGGCCAGGCAGGTAGGGGCCACAGCATTTGCAAGACCCCCACCCCAGGCTGGGCTTGGGGACCAGCCCCAGCAGGGCCCAGCAAGGGTCTCAGGCCGGGCAGCTTGCCTCATTGCCTGCTGGGGACAGGGCTTCGGCTTCCTTAGGCAGGCCAGGGGCTGGGTGGGAGCCAGCCACAGCGACCAGATGCCAGGAGTTGGGGACACACGGAAGTTCACAGGTGCTCAGAGGGGAGCTGGGGGTGCTCCCCACCCCGGGCCGGGGAGGGGCTGCAGTGCATGCATCAGAGTCGTGAGGGTTCCGCCCCTCAGGTGGGCCACCTAGCCTTCCTTGCTGGACACGGGACTTCCTGAGATGCCCCAGGGGCTATGTGCAGCTGAGGAGGGGTTTGCCTGGGTTTCTCAGGGCAGGTGTGCCTCGAGGGGTGGGGCTCCAGGAGCCTCGAGGCCGCCGTGAGGAAGTTAGAGTTAACCACAGAGAAAAGTGGTTACCTTGCACATTCACTTTATCAAGGGGCTCGAGTGAGAATGAGGCAGTCCTTCCTCCTCCTCGTCCACTGAGGTCCAGTCCACTCGGTGGGCTGACCAGTGCTCTTGAAAGCCGTCGGTTCATCACCGCTGTGCTGAGTGCTAGGTCTTCCGGACAGAACAGCGGCAGCTCCCTGACTGCTTTTAGCAGCTGGCAAATCTGATAAAAATCCAAACGCTTCATGTGCAAACTCAGCCCACTTAGTCCACCCTGAAGTCGGGGTCTCCTTCCCAGGTCAGCGCGGCCTGGGCTGGGGGCTCTGTGTTGTCCCGCCCGCAGCACACCCGCGGCTTGCGGTCCCCGCACAGAGTTAGGTCCAGCGCGTCCCTGGCTTCACCCCCAGCCTCCTGGGGCAGCCAGGAACCCTCAGCTTCAGCCGCCACCTCCTGGCGGGCCAGGGGAAGACAGGTCCGTGCCCACAGGCATGGTGGCCTGTCTGTCATCTCCGGTCCATACGGACCTGGTTCATGCTCCAGATTCACCCGTGACAGGGATGGACTGGTGGCCTCCTGCCTGGCCGGGCCATCTTGCAGGCCGTGCCCCTCACCCCCAGGTCTGCCAGGCCCAGCAGAGCCCCCGCCCCCACCCCCTGCCCCGACCTGAGGCCCAGCAGAGCCCCAGCTTGTGGCTTTCCTTGCAGAGTGCCCACGGGGAGCATGCTGGCCAGCAGGTTCCTCCAGGTGAGGCCCTGAGCGGTGGGGGCGGGGTGCTCTCAGGGCCCTGTGAGGGATGGGGTTCGAGGACCCAGGCTGGAGTCTCGGGGGCGTACTCAGAGCAGCTGCTGTGTCCTCCACAGAGGAAGCTGGCGGCCTTGCGGTTCCTGGGGATGGGGTGTCAGCAGCCCCTACTCTGATGTGCTCCCCTCGGGGGGGGCGGCAGTCACCTGACTCCCTGGCCCCCCTCCTTTCTCCCTGCAGGGCTGCTGGCAGCCGGAGGGCCTGGCCCTGGCCCCTCCGAGGAACCCGCCGGCGCTGGAGTAAGAGCCAGCAGCTCTCACGTCCCCCTACTCCCCAGAGATGTGGGGGCCCCAGGCCAGGCCCCCCTCCCATCCAGCCGAGGAAGCCTCCCAAGTCCGTGGCCCCCGAGCCCCCACCTCTCTGCCCCTGCCCTGCCCCCGGGGCCGGAAGCCCACTCCGGCTGGTCCTGGGGCCTTGGGGCCCAACTGCCATTCTGCCTGCACCCAGGGCGTGACATCGGGGGACTCTGAGTCCTTGGTGACCGTCACTGTGCAGTGTGCCCTCACCCTGACCCTGACGGCCCCGAGAGGAGCTGACTTGTCCAGCCTACGGGCCCTGATGAGCCAGGCCCTGCCCCGCCACGCCCAGCATGCCCAGCTCAGGTGGGCCAGGACGACGTGGCAGGGCAGGGAGGGGGCTCCGGGCTGGGTACCTCTCGGCCGCGCCCTGCAGGAGGGCCAGGCCCGTCAGAGGCTTTCGAGGTCAGAGGTTAGCACCCTCCGAAGCCGCTCGCCCACGCAGCCCCCTCTGAGAAGTCTCTTTGCAGCTACCGAGACCCCAGCGAGGACGGGCGCTGGATGCCCCTCTCTGGGGAGGAGGTGCTGCGGAGGGCCTGGCGGGACGCGGCCGGCCCCGGGGGTCTGCAGCTGCAGTGCCGGGTGAGTGGGGTGGGCGCGGGGGTGGCCGGCCCCTCTCCTAGGGCTGAGCTCACCCGCCAGTCCTCACCCTGCCGCAGGGAGTGGGCGGCCGGCCTGTCCTTTACCAAGTGGTGGCCCAGCATGTCTACTCCGCCCAGAGGCCCGAGGATCTGGCCTTGCAGCCGGGAGACACAGTGGACATCCTGTGCGAAGGTAGAGCCCGCGCTGCCCGGGCCGGGGGTGCCCGATGGGGAGTCTGCGCACAGACGCAGTGACACGCTGACGCCCGCAGTGGACCAGGCGTGGCTGGAGGGCCACTGTGATGGCCGCGTCGGCATCTTCCCCAAGAGCTTCGCCGGCCCGGCTGCGCAGCACGCCTGAGGAGCTCGGCGGAGGAGGCCAGGGCGGGGAGGGTTTAATAAAGGCCTCTGCCTCCCACGTGTGACCTGTCTCTGGGCTTGACCGCTGAGAGGGCCTGACCAGGCTTCCAGGGGTGTGGGTGGGCTGCTCAGGAGAACCCCGTGGAACTGGACACCAGCTCTTCTGGAGACCCCACGGCCCACGGCCAACCCTTCCCAAACAGCCGGCCCACCAGGCCCGAGCTGGCCCTACACACGTCAGTCTGCTGTCAACAGTCCAGGGGCCGCATGGGTCCTGACAGCCTGGCTTCTGTGCAGAGGCTCCCGGGAGATAGGCCGGGGTGCTGGGAGCCAGCGGCTGTGGTCGGGACCTCCGCAGCCTCCAGGGCCAGGGCGACCCCAGGGGCAGAAGGAGGTCGTCTGACGGCTGGCCGGAGCTCCCAGGATGAGGGCCGAGGCTCCTGATGGGGACAGGCCGGCCCAGGTGGCCAGGCTGGGCGCTGGGTCTCGGCGGCCGGCATCAGGGGCCGCTGGCCTAGTCCTGGAGCCAGAAGACGTGCACCGCCACGGCCCCCAGCGTGGCCACAAGTGTCAGCACCACGAAGACGACCCCGGCTGTCCAGATGCTGAAGCTCTGCGCCCACCCCTGCGCGGGCGCCTCGGCTGGGATCAGGTTGGTCAGGTTCAGCATGTAGCCCAGCGTCCAGCCAATGTCGGTGCCGCCAGCCTGCAGGCCACATCCCGGCCAGGGCTCCGGTCAGGGCCAAGGGCTTTGGCCCCAGAGCCCCACCCCTCCCTGGCCCCCCAGGCCCCCCAGCTGTCACCTGCTGGCGGAACTCGAGGCCGGCCCAGGTCTCCTCGCTGAACCCGTAGCCCTCGACCAGGAGTGTGAGGATGTACAGGCCCGAGGCACAGTAGTCCCGCAACCAGCGGTCCTGGCCCGGGGGCGCGCTCGCCTCCACCTGGGGGCCAGGAGCCCAGTGAGCCCCTCTCCCAGCACACATACACGCACCCCCCCACCGCCCCGGGCAGGTCCCGCTCAGAGGCGCCTCCGCCACCCTTGGTGAGCCCAGGGCCCAGGTTGGGGAAGGCAGCCCAGGCCCGCCCACCAGCTTCCAGGGCTGCAGGCAGAACTCCCAGACAGTGGCGTTGGCCTCGCTCAGTGTTGGCCTGGAGGTGAGGTTCAGGTAGTGGAAGGTGTAGTAGAAGTTGGAGAAAGCCTGTAGGGAGCGGCGATGTGCCCCTGTGGGTGGTGCCCAGGGGCAGGGGCCCAGGGGCCCAGGGCAAGCCGGGCTCAGCCCTAAACCTCCCCACCTGGGGCCCCAGGCTCCCCAAGGGCGCCGGGAGTCGGGACCCTCAGCCTCTGGGAGGAAGCTGGGCCCCGAGGGCAGACAGGGGTGGGGGGCTCACGTAGAACTGGCCCTGCACGGGGGGCTGGTAGACCCCGGCGAAGGCACAGTCTGCTCGGCCGTCACAGCTGGAGAAGTTGAAGAGCTTCCGCAGGGCCTCGACGCAGGCCCCGGGGCTCCCCGTGCCCTCCACGGTGAGGTTCTGGCTGAGGTCCAGGGGCGCTGCTGCCGGGATGCAGGGCGAGTCGTACAGGGGTGCCAGGGCCAGTGTGTCCCGGTAGCCGCTGTGGTAGCAGGGGTGGCGGACCAGGAGGCCTGGGCTGGCCTGCAGGAGGACGGATCCACTCGGAACCTGGCCTGGCCAGCCCCTGCCCTCCCCCCAGGATGCAAGCCCACCTGCACCAGCTCGACCAGGAGCCTGCTCAGCGCCTGGTCGCGCCCGAAGCAGAGGTAGCTGTGGGTGTAGACAGTGTGGTCGGTGCCGTAGAGGCGGAAGGTGGCCTGGGTGGTCTTGTCCAGGATGGGACCTCCGGGTACAAAGGTAATCTGGGTGGAGGCCCCACCCATGTCCAGGGCGCCCACCAGCGTCTCCTCCAGGGGCTGGATCCATTCTCCAGAGAAGGAGTACTGGGCACAAACAGGGGGCCCTGAGTCCCGGGCGCAGCCGCAGGGCCCACCCCTCCTCCCCACGCACCTACCCCCCTCCCCCCCCCGCCCTGGGGCCGCCTGTGGCACCTTCAGCAGCAGGCCCAGGACATAGTTGACGGTGATCCAACCAAAGGCGCCTTCGTCCTGCCCCGTCAGGAGCTCCGCGCCCCGGAAGTCCGCCGGGGACTGGCTCAGGGCCCGGCTGACCGCGGCGAAGACGTCCTCTGCCTGCGAGCGATTCTTGTGGCTGCACAGGGAGGGTGGGGCGGAGTTGGCGGGAGCCGCCCCTGTTCACTGAGTCGGGTGGCGCCTCAGCCCCAGGGGCGCGTGGACCCCACTCCAGCCCCTCACCTGAGCAGCCGCATGCCGGCAGTGGCCCCCAGGAACATGGGTGTCTCATGATGCTTGGCCTTTGGGATCAGTGCTAGCGCCTCCTCCAGGCAGCCCTGCAGGCTCTCGCCGACCCGCGCAGGGTCGGAGGCGTAGGAAGAGATTCCAGGCCCTGGAACACAGCACCCGGGGTGAGGCCCCAGGCTGAGCAGGCCTGAGGGAGGTGGACAAGTCGTGTGCACAGACGAGGCCCCGTCCTCACCCTCGGAGTCTGCAAAGGGGACTGTGTGTGCGAAAAGGTCTCTGCAGGTGTCATTAGTTAGGGGTCTGAAGACGAAGACCTGGCTTCCCTGGGTGGGCCCTGACCCCGAGGACCAGCGTCCTTACAAGAGACGGAGGAGGGGGACTGGAGGCACACGGGGAGAGGCTCGGGAAGGCCCACGCCGGAGCCCTGGCCCAGCACCCACTGACCAGCTGGGCCTCTTGGGTGACTCCCTGGAGCTCTCTGAGCCCTTTTCCTTCAGGTCGATTTGCTGCTGCCTGGCTCCAGCCTGCACCACCGCTGCCCAAAGCCCCGTCCCGCTGAGAGCCCAGTCGGCAGCGGCCGGCAGCTCCCAGCCCCGCCCACTGCTGGCAGACTGTCCACTGACCTTCCGCCTGGCAGGCCAGGGCCTGGCTGACCACACCCGTGTCGTTCTCCTTGTTGGCCGGCCACTGATACACAAAGAGGGATGTGTGGGAGGACCCGGCGTCGAACACGATCCCGAACTGGGGGTGACACTGGGGTCAGGAGGGCGTGGGGCAGGCACAGCCCATCCCAGCTTCCCCGGGAGGGCCCAGGGGCGCACCTTGGTGTCTGGGGGCAGGAGGACGTTGATGGTCCCCACCAGGATGAGAAGGAGCGCGGTGAGGCCTGAGACCGCTGCAGCACCCAGCAGAGCCGTGAAGACCCGCTGCTTCCAGGTCAGCCCCATGGTGGGGGCGGGACTGGCACCTGTGGGGCTGCGGAGGGCACCCCGACTCCGCCGGCTGGAGCGCCCCTCGTCCTCCCTGGGGTTCAGGCGGCCCACTCCTTCTGGTCAACAGGCAGGGCCAAGGACCAAGCTGCAGAGCCGGGGTGCCCCCCAACCCCGTGCGTGGCATCAGACAGGCTGCAGGAGCCAGGCGCGAGGATGCCCGGTCTGGTAAGCTAGCTGGCCACATACAGCGCGGGGGGCGCTGGGGTCACACTGGGGGCCGGAGAGCCACCCCCATCCCTCCACCGCCAGGATCCCGGCCCCTCCCATCCCCGACCGGGCAGGACTCCCAGTTCCACACTGAATTCCCAGGACCCCACCTCTCCCACCCACCGGGCTCCTCCCTGCGGCCCCACCCCAGGCCTCTCCCAGGGTGTCTTCTGAAAGCCCTGGGGTCAGGCCTGAACCCGGTGGGGACAGGACACTGCCTGGCCCTCATGTTGCCAAGCTGCCCGCGTGGAGACAGGTGAACGAGATCAGGAAGGTCCCGGGAAGCGCGGTGTCTCTCCCGAAGGGCCGAGGAGCTCTGAACTGAGGCGCCTGGTTTCTGTTTAAAAGCCCAGCCTCGTGCCTCTCTGATCTGATTCTGACATTTTTCCGCGGCCCTGCGACTGACCCTCAGCCGCGGGCCCAGGCTCACCCAGCAGTGAGGGCCGCTCGGGGTGTCCGAGGCCTCACCAGCCTCACCCCTAACCCTGAGCGGGGCCCGGGCACAGGAGTCCCCAGGAGCCCTGGGCCGGCGGCCGCCCTGCCAGAGGAAGTGGTCGGGTCACTAGGACCCTGAGTTCGCGGACTTTGTGTCTCGGGTGCTCCCGAGGCTTCCGGCTGGGAGTGGGGCCTCCGAGCGAGGTCATGATCCCATTTTCAGGGGGGAGACCAAGGCTCAGAGAGGGCGGGTGACCTGCCTCTGTCCCCAAGCTGCAGGCCACGTCAGGGACGGGCAGGAGCCAGGGACACCAGGACCCCACCCCACCCCACCTCCAGGGCGTGCAGTGCTCCAAGCCCCGGGGGTGGGCAGAGCGGGCGGAAGCCCCCAGGGCCGCAGCGCCCCTCACCTGGGCTGTCGATGAGCATCAGGAGGCCGCGAGGAGGGAGCTGGACCGTCTGCCAGCTCTCGGCACCTGCCCGGCGACGTCTGCCCGCCGCCTCCCCACCCTGCCTGCCCCCAGCCTGCTGACCGCTGGGCCCTGCCCTCACCCAGGGTCACCACCCCGCCCCGCCCAGAGGGGTCCCTCCTGGGAGCTGCTCAGACTTTGCCCTCTGACCCCGCCCTTCCCCAGCACTGGATGGCGCCAGGACTGGGCGAAGGGCAGGTCGGAGTCAGGTGACTGCAAAGGGCTGAGGCCCAGGACTCAACCCCAGCAAAGGCCGGAAGGCAGGAGGGGAGGGTCAGGCTGTTCCCGCGCGGGAGAGTTGCCCCTTTTCTGAGCACACCTGTCAGTTTGTGTAACCACAGCCGCCCGGCCCTGCCCCCACCTCTCGGCTCCCCTGGCCGATGTTTTGTCCTTGCGAGGGAGTCAGAGACAACCGAGGCTGGCTTCTTCCCTCAGCTCCCCGGGGCCTGCGAGGAGGCTGCCCTGTGAGCTGAATCCCCGGCGCTGGAGGCCACGGTCTCCCGCTCCCCAGCTGCGAGGCGCGGCCGTGGACAAGCACACGCAGGCTGCACTGCACGCCTGGAAACTGACTGCTCGGCTCCCCTCAGAACTGCCCACGGGCCCCAGGGGACGTGGGTTTGATCCCTGGTCAGGGAACTGAGGTTCCACACGCCACCGGGCAGCTAAGTCCACGAGCCGCAAATAGAGTCTGTGCGCCGAAACTGAAGATCCCGCGAGTGGCAACAGAGACCCAACGCAGCCGAACAAACGAACAAAACCAGATTTTAAAGTCCTGCCCAGATGCTCTCTAGCGTGAGAGCTCGTTTCTCTGCGCCCTTCTAGCGTCCGTGTCACAGCTTTTCCTCTCAGCCGGTCTGATGTGTACTCAGGCCTCCTGCGGCTTCCGTTCACACGGGGGCTGGGGACCCCACATCCGCATCTGCACACGTGACCCTCTCTGGCGAAGTGTCACGTCTTTTAACTGGACCATTTGATTTCTTCCTGTTGAGTTTAGGGAATTCTTTATATATTCTAGGTGCAGCTCCTTCTGTACGAGGTTTGCAAATACCTTCTCTCAGTCTGTAATTTGTCTTAGCTGTGTACTTCACAGAGCAATTTTTAACTTCTTGATGCAGTCAAATTTATCAGTGCGTTCTTTTGTGGATGGTCTTTTGTGTTGTTACCAAGAACTCTTCGCCTAACCCCGGTCATGAAGATTTCTTTCTCCTTAAGTCTCCTAGTCTCATGATGTGACTTGATCTATGAGCCATTCTGAATTATTCTCTGTAAGAGGTGTGACTTCATCACGTCCACCTCTTCTGCACGTGGATGACAGAGGCCCTGGCACCATCCTTTCCAAAGAAGATGTGGTACATCCATGCATTTATATACCCAATAGAGTAGTACTCAGCATCCAAAAAGAATGAATGATGCCACCTGCAGCACCATGGATGGACCTAAAGGCAAAGGCAAACACCGTACGCTGCCACTTACATGTGGAACCTAAAATACGATACAAGTCAACCTGTGGGACAGAAACAAACCTGTGGGTGCCACGCGGGGAGGGAGAGTAGGGAGGGGAGGGCCGGGGGTTTGGGGTCAGTAGACGCAGACTCTTGTCTGCAGGACGGAGAAACAACAAGGTCCCCCTGTGCACCCCAGGGAGCTATATTCAGCATCCCGTGATAAGCCAGATGGAAAAGAATGTGAACAAGATTGTACATGTGTTTTCCTGAGTCACGCGCTGAGTTACAAAATGTAAACAACAGTGAGTGAAGTGAAAGTCGCTCAGTCGTGTCTGACTCTTTGCGACCCCAGGGACTGTAGAGTCCATGGAATTCTCCAGGCCAGAATACTGGAGTGTGTGGCCTATCCCTTCTCCAGGGGATCTTCCTGACCCAGGAATTGAACCGGGGTCTCCTGCATTGCAGGCGGATTCTTTACCAACTGAGCTATCAGGGTAAACATAACATAGAGTAGTACTCAGCATCAGAAACAATGAAACACCATAAACAACAATACTTCAATAAAATTTAGGAAAACCATCCTTTCTCTGTGAGCCCCTCTGCACCTCCGTATAAACAGCCGTGTGGCGAGGGCCCGTTTCCCCACTGTCTCTTGTCCCTGGTGCTGTCTCGATTACACAGCCACAGAGTTAATACTGTGCGGGGTATGAGTCCTCCAACTTCAATCTTCTTTTTCAAAATTGTTTTAGCTATCCTAGTTCCTGCATGCTTACTTGCTCAGCTGTGTGCGACTCTTCGAAACCCTAGGGACTGTAGCTCGCCGAGATCCTCTGTCCATGGGATTTTTCAGGCAGGAACACTCGAGTGGGCTGCCGTCTCCTCCTCCAAGGTATCGTCCCAACCCAAGGATCGCACCCTCATCTCCTGGGCTTCCTGCATTCCAGCGGGATTTTTACCTGCTGAGCTATCAGGGAAGCCCCTCTTTTGGAGGTAGGAGGATGGAAATAAACATTCTACATGCTTGAAAGAAGAAATATGTAGTTCCTATGCCCTTCCATGTAAATTTTATAGTCAGCCCTTCATTAAGCACAAAAAAATCTGAAAGTTTTATTGGTGGTATGTAAAAAATCTATGATCACTTTGTGGAAAATTGGTATCTTTACAATTTTGGGCCTCCCAATCCTCGAGCACAATTTATCTTCTCTCTATTTAGGGTTTAGGTCTTAAAATTCCTTCTCATCAGCATTTTTCTAGTGTTCAGAATACCAATCCAGCATACATTTTGTTGCATCTACACCAAAGTGTTCCATCTTTGTGGGGAACCTTTGTAAACGGTACCTTTTAAAATTCAGTTTTGAATTGTTTATCAGCGGTAGGTAGACGCAGTTGGTTTTGCGGTCCACCTCGCATCCGCCACCTTGCCAAGCCCACCTCCTCGTCACAGGAGTCTGTAGCTCCCTGGGACAGGGCAGTCATGGAAATAGGCCAGCGGCGCCCCCTCCTCTGTGCGCGTCTCTTCCTGCCCTTGCTCGCCTGGGCGCTGGCCAAGATGCCGCTGTGTGGAGGGGGGAGCCTCGTTCCCAGCCTGAAGCGCCTGAGGCTGGCGTTAGTTGCAGGTGTCTCCTTGGCTAGTTTTCGTCGCGAATGAGTTCTGTGTTTCATCATGTGCTTGTCTTCATCCATTAGTACATTTGTGTGATTTTTCTTCATTGAACATGGTGTGGTGGGTTGCGTTGCTTCTCTTGAATACTGACCAGGATAAACTTCACTTGATTGCAGTGCACTATTTTCTTTCCATATTACTGGATTTTGTTTGCTAATACAGTCAGGTCTTGTTATTTGTGGATTTTGTACTTGCAATTTTGCCTACCAGCCTCAAAATTGCTTTTGTAATCCCCTTAGTGGGCATTTGTGGGCACGAGTGGAGCAGCAAATCCATGAGTGAGTTGACCCGCCCGTCCTCAGCCGAGGTTCAACAAGGCGACACTGCCTTCTTGTTTCAGCTTGCGCTGCAAACAAGTGTCCTTTCACGCTCAGCTTGAAGCCATCTGTCTGTACTTGTGTGCTTTCGGGAATCTGAGCCTGTATTTCCCCCGGGAGCCGTGGTTCGGTGTCGGCTGACTTGGGGCTTGCAGTGACTCCACAGAAAAGAAGGATAAAAGCATCTGGAGAATTTCTGCGGCTGTGTTCACAGTGCTGGGCTGATGCTGGATGGGTTGGGAAGTTTCCTTCCCCCGTCACCTCCTGGAAGGGATTTCTAGTCTTCCTTCTTTAAATGTTTTGTGTAATTGCCAGTGAAACCATCTGAGACTTGCTTTTTCAGAAGATATTTAATTGCAGACTCAATTTCTTTAGTGGTGATAAGGCTATTCAAGCTATCCAGTTCATGCTGAGTGAGTTTTGGTAGTTTGCGGCTTTTGAGGACTTGGTCCATGTCGCTCCAGTTATTGACTTTGTGTCAACAAAATTACCCACAGCCTCCCTCTCCTATCTGCTTGTCATGTTTGTAGTGACAGACCTCTTTCATTCCTGATGCTGTCTTTGGGCCTGCAATTTTTTTTTTTTTTTGCTGTTGCTGTTGCTAGAGGTCTATCGATTTTTTTGTTTCACAATTTTTTTCTTTTTCTGGTTTCCAAATATTTTTTGATTTCTGCTCTTACACATGCTAGTAAGATTATGCTCAAAATCCTTCAAGCTAGGCTTTAGCAGTATGTGAAATGAGAACTCCCTGATGAACAAGCTGGGTTTAGAAAAGGCAGAAGAACCAGAGATCAAATTGCCAACATTCTTTGGATCATGGAGAAAGCAAGGGAGTTCCAAAAAACCATCTACTTCTGCTTCATTAGCTATGCTAAAGCCTTTGTGTACATCACAACAAACTGGAAAATTCTTTAAAATACTGGAGTACCAGACCATCTTACCTGTCTCCTGAGAAACCTGTATTTGGGTCAAAAAGTAACAGAACTAGACATGAAACAACAGACTGGTTCGCAATTGGGAAAGGAGTGCTTCAAGGTTGTATTATTCTCACCCTGATTATTTAACTTGTGTGCAGAGTACCTCATGCAAAATGCTGAACTGGATGAATCACAGGCTGGAATCAAGATTGCCGAGAGAAATATCAACCACCTCAGATATGCAGATGAATGCAGAGGAACTAAAAAGCCTCTTGATGAGGGTGAAAAAGGAGAGTGAAAAAGCCAGGTTGAAATTCAACATTCAAAAAACTAAGATCATGGCCCCTGGTCCCATCATTCATGGCAAATAGATGGGGAAAAAGTAGAAACTGGAAGATTCTATTTTTGGGGGGCTCCAAAACCACTTTGTGCAGTGACAGCAGCCATGAAATTAAAAGACGCTCCTTAGAAGGAAAGCTATGACAAATTAGACAGTGTATTAAAAAACAGAGACATCACTTTGCCCACAAAGGCCTGTACAGTCAAAGATATGGTTTTTCCAGTAGTCGTGTACAGACAGATGTGAGAGCTGGACCAGAAAGAAGGCTCAGTGCTGAAGAATGGATGCTTTTTGAATTGTGATGCCAGAGAAG